TCCTTTCCTACATACAGCACCACAGAGTCACAGAGTTCTAGGTTCTCCTATCTCCTTTCCTACATACAGCACCAGCTCTGTCATACCACCCTGAGTACAATTTCCAGCTAAATATAGCCAACAACTGATTTAGACCATGAGTCTTAAGACAATATACGGTGTAAAAAAGTGGTTTTGCACTATTACGTCTTCAGTAGGTCTACCTTACTTTTGCAGATTTTCCCCTTCATCCTCTCTCTGAAATCTTTGCTCTTCCCCATATTAAGGTAGGATCTTGCTCATGTTTGCTGGACTAGGTCACCTCTGACAAGTCTCCCACAACACAATCTGTAGGTTTCTTCCTGGCCATGCCAAAAGCTTCTAGAATCTGAGAACAATTTGGTGAGAAAGGAATATAGGCAAAGGCCTAAGTGAGTCAGAAGGGAGCCAAGGTAGGAACCGATCCCTCTAATGGTACCACCTCACACTCATCTCAGTCTCGAGGCTGGTATTTGCTCAGTATGTGCCAGGTACTGTGCTCACTAAGGGCTTATATTGCATGATCACATCCAATCTTCTGATCCCTGTGACATATTATCTCCCTTGAACAGACAAAGAGCTTGAGGCTCAAAGAGGTCAAGTAACTAGACCAAGGTCGCACAGTTACTGGGTATCAAGTATGGACTAAAACTCAGCTCTCTGACAGTGAAACCTCCCTCGCCACTGTGGTTCTACTACACATTTCATCCACTCTCTGCACATCTGTCCTGGGTACTTTCTTCCTCTTGGTCAAATTTCCCATCAGGCTTCTAAAATTTCTTTTGTCTTTGGATCTTCATGCCCATTTTTGAAGAGCAAAATGACCCATTTTATGTAAGCTCTGCTGGCAAAGACACAGCTGACACTTTTGCAGGTAGAAACACTGGAATTAGACTGAGCAGCAACATTTTACTATGTTATGAACCAACCATGTCAATTAAAGCCATTCCAGATGGAGAAACATGACAAGAAGTGGCAGGTGTTCTGAACACAACCTGCTTGACAATCTAGCCCCTCCCTAAGAATAATTTACATTATCTGTATCTATCTACCTATATAAAATTGACAGAATTAGTATTCAGAAAACTTAGGACCGGAGTATATACATAAACCTAATGAGCAGAAAAAAATGTAAGGGATGTGGCCAATTCCATTTTATTAGTAATTTATATATAAGAATCAGCTGAAAGAAGTCAAAGAAACCTTACTGAAACACACTGAAATCTCCATACCTTACTACTTGGGGGCGGTCTATAGTAATAATTTCTGTCTTAAACCGATTTATGGAGATTTAGTTTCTGATGGGATGAAAATTCTATTTTTGAAAAATGCTTGCAATTTATAACAAGTTTTCATATACAGCCTTTGCCACGATCTCATGAGATATATACTATTAAGCCTGTTTTATAGATGAAGACATGGAGGCTCCAGGGGGCTAACTCAGGCATCAGGAGTTCCTGATGGAGGGAGGATACAAACCCAGCCCTCCATGCTTTGCTCAGCACCATCCTCTACAGAGCGGTCTCCCTTTATTACTCTCTTGGCTGACATTGGTTCCTTTCCAATTACACTTGGAAGAGAACTTGGGAAGTCAAGGTGTAGATTTTTATGGTTGCTTCATGAATTATTGTATAACTTTCTAAACACTTGGGAGTGTGTTGAAGAGCACTCAGCACAGATACTTTTGTGATAAATTCAGCTTCTTTGATATACATTGATCATTATAGAAAGTCGGACAGTGCAGAGGGAGGGAGCCTCTGGCCTGGAATTTAGAAGATGTTAGTTTGATGGAGGAGTCACAGCACAGGTTCTGGCGACACACTGTTGGATCCAGGCCCTCCTGCGTGTTAACTCAGATCTTGGGCAAGTTACTTAATCTGCTTTAATTTCGACATGTGTAAAATGGGAATCATAAAAAAATCTAGCTAGTGAATTTATAAACACTAAATAAGGACTAAATAACTCATTTAAAACACCTAGTGCTTAAGCATGGTATGTACATGAAGATGAGTTTATATTAATTGCAAGAGAGTGGGACATTCTAGATAGAGGAGGGGTCATATGCAAAGAAAAGGAAATGGGAAAGCACAGGTGTGTTTGGGAGACCACGGACAGATAAATCAGGCTCCAGCAAGTAAGAGAAAGGAAATATGCCAAGAAAGCCACATTAGAGAAGGACTTGAATGTTGGGCTAAGGAGGCCCAGTGGGAGGCAGTGACTCTACCACCAAACCCTATAAGCAAGTCACTTCTGCCTCATTTCCTCTCCATAGAACTTCTACCACTTGTCTGTAAAATAAAGGGAACTAGGTAATTACTAAAAATGTAGTCAGATCTAAGTTTCTCATGGAAGTAGTGGTGCTACAACGGACGTGCAAACAAGGAGGGATCAGGATAGTAAATTCAGGAAGACAGGTTTGGAAGGTATGGATTGGACCAAGGATAGAACAGAGACCAGGAACAGTTTAGAAGACCACTAGAAAAGTGCTGAATGTGTATTAAATATTTATATAGAGATTGGAAGATGAAAAAACCAGAAATGAGGTTTAGATTCCAGGGCAGTAGCCTGATGATAGGGTTAAATGGATGAGTAATCAAAACTATAGATTTTGAAAACAAATCAATTCTAGTAAAATAAGTTCAGGACAAAAAAAAAAAAAATCCCAAAAAACAAAAAAAACAAAATGGAACTTAGTTGATGGAGAATTTTGCCAAAAGCCAAATTATCCCAATGAGCTTTTGTGGTTTGGCGTTTGAACATGTCAATACTATGCCAGATTGTAAAATGCATAAAACTGCAAAAACAAGTCACTTTATGATGGGCTCGCTCTACTAGATGGGTCCCGTTGGGTGTCTTTAGGATTGACCACACTCAGTGACACTGGGAAACAAAAACAAAACCAAATGCATAAGGGAACAGCATGAGGAAACGCTGAAAACTCAGCCAAGAAAAAGTCTTTTTACGCCAACAGGCACTGGCTGCATACCAGGTCCTAAAGGTATTTGGACTCAGAAGAAAAAAGAACTCAATGTTAGAACGCTTAATGCCCTCTCTAGATCACTAATCTAAAATCTTTGGATCTCATGATTCAAATGTCATCGAGGTCTCTAAAGCTCATGAAATCAGTGGCTTCTTGGACATCTTTGCTGAAACACTTGTCTCAGTTGTTTCTCCCTGGTGCAAGGCAAGAATCAAAATGCAGTAGTAGTAATTCCTGATTCCCTTGGTACTGTACATAAAATGTTTTGCAAAAGTGAACGTCTCTGGAGAAAGGGTTCACAGTTTCCAGAGTCTCATCAGACCCAGAGAGTTGAAGAATCACTGCTATGGGAGGGGGGGTGGGAATCTATGCTTATATTTAAATATCCCAACTCACTCATGTATAGCAGCTTAGTATAATGCTGGTTTTCAGAAATAACACAGGAGAAAGCTTTTTGCTTTTTTTATTTTTCCTTATAAGTCATCCCCTGTTAATACTAACAAACCCACCAGGACAACTGTCTTTAGTGTTCAAAGGTATTTGTTTTTTGATAATAACTCAGAGATTAAAAAAAATAATAATAAAATGACAACTTTACAAGACTTTTCTGAGTCCTCTTTTCTCAGTGAAAAATACCTAAATAGAGGACTCATCTCCCTCCAAAAAATAATAAAAAATTAAAAAAAATTTAAAAGAGATTAAAAGAAGATCTACAACAGGACCACTTCTTAATCATAAGGTGACTACTACCTAGGAAATGAGATTCAAGAGGTTACAGTGATAATTCTTAAATGGCAGTTGACATTTAAATCTTAAATTAAGACATTGTAAATTATGAACTAGGTTCATGTGTTCCAGAGAAGAGACAGGTAGTTATGGGTTTGAACTTCTCCACTCAGTTTTCTATTTCCAGGTAAGGATGGTCAAATTACTTGTCA